AAGTTTAGAACCGCTCGCTATTGTTGGCGGTGCGATGGCGACGCCGCTCGTGCGTGCTTCCATAACGGTAGTCATACACAAATTGAATATTTCTTTCAACCTTTTTGTGATAGATGAAGAATCGATTACGTCTCGGACCTAGCCCTAATTTATCGGTAATTGAATCACGATGAGATAACTCGAGACATTGGCGGGCCACGACGGAGCGAAACGTCGTGTCCGTTGGAAAGTAATTGCATTAAATTGTTACAGTAACAGGAAATGTTATTGAGAGAACTGTAGCTATAAAGTTGATGTAGGTTTTTTTTAATTAGTAAAATTTATTGATCGAAGAGTAAAATTAAAAGGTAAAGCGTTTTATTTTAACGTATATCGTAAAATTATTTATATGTTATTAATTAAATCACCTAATGTTTAACGAACAACTAAAAAAAAAAAACGTATTAACTGGCATGTACTTTTTATCCAACACTATTCGGGTACCGCAATCCTATTTGTCGCGCAAGGGGCCATTCGTTCGTTCGTTTTGATAAGGAGTAGGTTTGGATAAACCTACTCCAATGCAAATCATACTTATTTTTCATTTATCTCAACAAGCGAGCGGTATGTATTAAATTCGAAACTAGACCAATAAATGAAAACTTAATATGTACTGCCAAGAAACCGCCAAGTTTCTTCAACCAAAAAAAAAACATAAAAATCGCACAAATAATCCTTTCAATGATAGTATTAAACAGATTAGGATACAAAATTTCATTGATACACATATACTACTGATATTTAATAATAGTATGGGCTATTACATAACGACCTTGGTCGGCCTTGCCACCGGCGTGGTTCCCCGTCCGTCGAGAGGTCAACGGCCGCGAACCTCATATCTCTAATGGCTATTCAATTTACGCAACATCCTATATCTAGCCATTATAAATTGCTTGCACTGCATAGGTAAAATTAAACATTTTAAGCGTGTTCATCAATTTAATGATTTAATTTTGTTTCGTGATTGAAAACTTGTTGTTTCGAAATTGACTTCAGTGTGAGAAGCCACAGAAGTTTGTTGTTGTTTAGATGACCTACTATCTATTTCTATCAATGATGGAAAATCTGCGCATAACCCCGAGATTTTGGTAGAAATGTTTTTTTCTTTATATCTTTGAATACAAATTTTATAAAGTAATCTTTTTGTAATCGATTTTCGCAATAATCGGTTAGTTTATAATAATAATTATAGTTAGACCATATTTTAATATAAAAACCGATTTACTTTTTATAAATTTGTCAGGTATTATTGGCAACCCTGATTATTGTACCTGATCCGTATTGGGACTCGATTCCTGATCGGAGTCAGTATTTTTTGTCAAAAATTCAAGGTTACTGTGCTTCCTGTTAAGTGAATAATTCCAGGACTTTTTGGCGGGAACGCGAGGAGTGAAGTTGTGTGATTTGTTTTATTTTGTCTATTTAGTGTTTCTTCGGGTTTAAATGTGTAATAATGGTGGTTTCTTAACCGTTTAATATCTGTGAAAGTGCACAAATGTGGGAAAATGAAACAAAGCCGCTGGACGTAACTCTTCTGGATCCTCCAAAAAGTCCACTGAAAAATCTTAGTAAATGACCACCATTTTACTGAGATCAGATTTCATCTCATATCATCTCATTTAATTTCATCCCAGTTGATTAATGTCTCAAATTAATCATTTTCATTTCATTTCACTCCATAATATAATTTTTCATAAAATTAAGAATATAGATTAAAATAAGACATGATTTAAAGTTCTCAGTTACAAGGTCATAAAATCTCTTAAAAAAAAAAAGAATAATTCCAGAACGAATGAAAAACGAAAACCCAAAAGGAAAATTATGAGAAACGTAGCCTGGTGACGTTGAGTTTGAGTCGTTACATTAAAAAAAAAACAATTTGAGAACGGGGGGAAATTTAATCAGTCACACATAGTATTATCTATGTAGGTATAGCTATAGGTATAAAAAAACAGATAGGTATGTAATGACTATTTTCTCTACGGTCCGTTATTTTTTTTTCTAAAGTTAATAGCAAAACGAAAGAGAAGATGTGATAGGAAAAAATTAATCTAAATCTTGAGGCGTCAGTGATTATGGTTGAAAAGATTGGACATCGTCAATTCTTGATTCGATCTAGAATTACATTTAACCTGCATTTAATCTGGTCGTGACCATTTCCTTGAAAACAAATATTTAAATACGCGAGTTGAGTTTCTCTAAAAACCTGATATTTTACGGTCGAATGTGTTATAATAGCGTACAAATACTAGGTAACTAAAAAAACTTTCACTGCATGTGTCATTTGCAAGAAAAAGTGGAATAAAATTTAATTAATAGGAAACGAGTAGTTCAGATAACGGCACTGCAGAGTATCTGTGGAAGTAATAATCCGCCTTCGAACATTTCCGATATTGCAACTTCTCCTAAATTGCATTTTTATTATAAACTAGCTGACCCGGCAGACTTCTTAGTGCCTCAATCGATAAATAAAAGACCTAAACTTTTGTATAAAATAAACATAAAACAAACAAAAGAAATCCGTCCGACGGGGGACACATCAAAGGAAAAACAAAATTGCTATTTTTATTCAATTCCGAGCATTTTCATATTTATCTACCTTTTAAACCTTCCCTGGACCTCCACGAATAATTCGAGACCAAAATTAGCCAAATCGGTCCAGCCGTTCTCGAGTTTTAGCGAGACTAACGAACAGCAATTCATTTTTATATATACCTATATAAATTATAATACTTATCTAAAATAATATTCATAAAAATATATAGCAAATAATATGAAAACCATGAAGATAATAAATTAATAAGATAAAAATATATGATCATTGCAACGTACCTAAGTTAGCCATTATGAAAGTAAATTCAAAAATTAATTATAGTTCTAACATTTATTAATTACAAAAAATGTTTTCTCGATTACAAAACTAGTATTGAACTACTAAGAGCGTTTTAATTAGTAGAATACACCTGGGCTATGCAAGTCCATAATCCCACTGCCTTGGTTCGAATGTAAAGTAAATAGAAAACAAACAAAACTTGTTCTTGAAATAAATGTCTATCGACTGAATCTACAGCGCTAAGATCGTTTACAAGTCTGCGCTTAGTTGAAGTTTACTATAAAGTAAATTATTACCAATATTATTCAGTAAACATGGTATTTAAAATTATCTTTTTTTCTTTTATTTATCCTTAGTTCGAGCGTGGGAATTCGTTGATAAGTTTTGTACAAATCGTTGAAGCGTTGCAAATATGCTGGTCTATGGACTATGGTGCAGCGGGGTTAATGACACCGATGAAACGAAGGCATGACTACGCTTTTAGGACCACCGGATTACACGGATAACTTACATAAAGTTATAAAACGAAGCGATTCCGTGTAGTTTAGTAGAATACTGATTAAAAAATACTCTTTGCAAGAGACACGTCATTGTCGGCATACTTGTAATTGCCGCATCCGCAAATAGGCTCCGCTATTAGGCTTCAAATCTTTTTTGTAATTCGAATTAATTTTTTTGGTAATCAAGGTTGTCATTATACAAGTGTTAGATCAATTGTTCGGAAGTGTACAACGATCGATTACTTTTCGATGAAAATCGATTTTCTGCGGTTTGAAAAAAAAACTAGACATTTTATTGTTAAAAACCAACTTAGTTGAATAGGTAGTTGCTACGTACAAATAATTTGTTGAAATTGAAAATAATACAGAAAAGGAATGATCCAATCCAAGAAGTGCACTTTTTTTTTACTGATTTTCGGGACATATTAAATTAACCTTCAATATGTATTTTTAGAGTATGTATTATCTGAAATCCTCACTAACACAGACCAAAATAAATCGAATCAAATACCATCTTCTAAAAACCTATCCGATATAATTGATTCAGGCTAATATATCACGAGCCGTTAGATTAGATCTATTTTCATTTTAATTAATTCTTGGTTCGTGCCTTGTTGAAATTATATTAATAAGTCAACACTGTGTTGTGAGATCATGACAAAAGGATAGAGTGCCTTTCTGTATAAAAACATACGTAGATCCTATTATTAAAAGACTTGCAAATGTTCAAAAACATTAAATTGATAAGTTTTTATTTTTATTTTAAATTGTGACGGCGTCACTGATGAGTTTGAGATTTGTTTCGATATTCCTTTGTCCATACGATCAAAGTGGCGGTCAACGGCCCAAATCGCCAGTTAACGTCACCTCATTACTCGAGTGGCAACGGTCGCGAATATGTCCAGTACCAGGCTTTGGTGCTATGCTAACGAATCGATTAGAGACGGTTCACCGAACGGTGTTTCAGTCGCATACCGATAAATGACTCTTCTATTCAATTGTTGTATCTGTTTCAAATTCAAAAGAAAGTAGCGTCAACCGTTGTTTCACACCTTGCATTGGAATCCGAGATAATTTACATTTAGGTTGCGTTTTAAATTTAGTTTTTACTTCGACGTTTCCAAACGTTGCATATTCTATCCCGAGTTTACTACCGCAATTGCAATTAGTAGTTGGTGGGGTTGTATTGCTTTATATCCAATAATTGCAGGCACTAGTTTTAAGTACTTACAATCTCGGACGTTCGGCGCCAGTGCAGTGCGTCGACTAATTACTATACCACGAACGCACCTATCAATCATGTAACACCTCCTAATGATGGACTGAACGTATAAGTTGCACGGAACGACTGATCATTCGGCGTCTTTCAGCTAGTCTACAATTTGTCGGCAGCGTTTTACGACTTTGTGTTCGTTTAAATTAAATCGCACGCTGCTAAGAAGAATTGCTAAGAAGAATTGCTTGGAGGACGTAACGTGGGACGCCCCCTGGTTAGGTGGTGCGATGACCTCCGCACGGTGGCCGGCAAGAAGTGGATTGGGAGAGGCCTATGTCCAACAGTGGACGACTGTGGGCTGTTGATGATAATGATGATGATGATGAATTGCTAACGTTTATTTTCGTTTTAGAACCGGCGAGCAATGCGAACCCGCCCGGAGAGTTACCTGTGACGATCGAACACCAGCAAGACACGAACATGTCTAGCAACCTCACCAGGAACGATGCTAATTGCGACAAAACGGGAACATGTTACGACGGTAATTGTCACTTGACGATTTTGTTATTATTTTAATACGCTTTTATTAGCTTCAGACGTATGTATGTAACGGAATATTTGAACATGATTTTGACCCCCTTCAAAATGTCGGATTAACTCGAAATTTGGTAAACTTATTAAGGACCGATGACAACTCAATACAAAAAAAAATTTAAAAAATTTGAATTCAATTAAAAATGAAAAATAAATAATAGTTTAAAAAAACTAACAAAATACGCTTACGCGATATGGAAAATCATACTAAAATATAAAATAAATCTGAATTACAAATAGTGTCAGAAAAAATTATTTTATTGTAAAAAAAGGCGTGGGGTGCATAGTATCAGTAGGTAGTTATAAATATTTTATGAACAGATATGAGTAGAAGGGTTATTTTGATAATATCCTGAAAAGCACCCCACGCTTTTTAACAATAAAATAATTTTTTCTTACATAATTTTTATTTTAAATTTTTTAACATTTAATTTCTATTTTTTAGTTGGATTTTCCATAAAAGCGTATTTTGTTAGTTTTTTTAAACTATTCTAGTAATAACTTCTAACTGTCCGATAATTTCCAGTGTCGGTGCTTTGCAAGGATACAAGGATCGCAGTGCAGGTCCGCACGAACAAGCCCTTCAACGGTCGGATCTACGCTTTGGGTCGCTCGGAAACATGCAACATTGATGTCGTCAATAGCGATCTTTTCCGCTTGGACCTCACCATGGCCGGACAGGATTGCAATACTCAGAGCGTTGTAAGTTAAATGAAAATGATTGTTCAAATCAAAATTAAAAAACGAAGCGAGCGATCTCGTGGTTTTTACACTTTTATTGTGTTAACTACAGTAGATCTGTATAAGTTTTTTTTTTCTTTTATTTATTGCTTAGATGGGTGGACGAGCTCACAGCCCACCTGGTGTTCAGTGGTTACTGGAGCCCAGACATCCACAACGTAAATGCGCCACCCACCTTGAGATACAAGTTCTAAGGTCTCAAGTATGCCCCACCCTTCAGACCGAAACGAATTACTGTTTTACGGCAGAAATAGGCAGGGCGGTGGTACCTACCCGCGCGGACTCACAAGAGGTCCTACTACCAGTAATAAAAAATTAATACAGTATTTGAATTTTAGACTGGGGTATATTCAAACACCGTCGTACTGCAACACCACAGCGTGGTCATGACGAAAGCCGACAAGATCTACAAAGTCAAGTGCACGTACGACATGAGTTCGAAGAATATCACATTCGGAATGGTGCCGATCAGGTCAGTGGAACGCATGCACGAATTAGTTCATTTCAAAACTACCGCGAGGACACAGTCATTCTTATTTGTATTTGTCGCCTGTTTAATTTGTAGTCTGAGGAGTTGCTACGTGATGTGGTTGACACAAAAATCAAGCATGCGAACGCGCAGGGTAATTTCGATTCTATTGACAGTTTATCGATACTACGACGTATACAGGGTGTAGAGAATTCGTTAGTAAAACCAAAACAGGAATAAATTACTAACCTAACGTTAACAGAAAATGTATTTCGCTTAACAGGCGATATTAATCTTTACAATTAAAGGTCCGGCTTATTTGGTATTAACATCAATAATTTGATGTTTTTAATTGAACTTCAATTAAGTTAACCCCATTCAAATAGCTAAAGATATTTTTGGTATCATAATATATGTTTTCCAATTTTTTTACTTTCAATGGCTCTGCTGCAAAGTTGCAAAAATATCGCTTAAATCAAATAGCCCGTCGATATATTTTTTTAATATGTCATTGTTTATGCATGACTTGTTGGCGAGAGAAATGGGCAATATGGAAGTAACTACAAGTGTAGACAATATTTTGTGGTTTTATTTTCATAAGGCAATATGGAAGTAATTAATAGCGTAGACAAAATTTTGCGGTTCGATTTTCATAACAGCTTTTTTTCATGTAGATGTTGTTATTAAGCACGTGGTAGGCACACATTTCTTTCTAGAAAAATCGGCCATTTTAGGCCATTAGGTATGGCCTTCTATTACATGCTTGTCGTGTTAGTAAGTTCAATATTCTTGAACTCGCAATGTATCGAGAAGATAACTGGCAGACGCTTCCTCTAAATCGTACATACATTGTGTTACAATGCGTGCAATGCAAAACATATCACTAAATTATTTTTTCTCGAACACGTGTTTTCTATCATGGAACAAATCATACACCCTGTATACAATAATTAGATACAAAAATTTAATTCCCAACTTAGTTGCGCATTTGGACGTGATGAGCAGCTTTATAGTTTTGTACTTAAGTATTTCTAATGAGAATGAATGGAAGATAACGATCAGGAACAATCTACCGACGAAATCTTAACTCACGAACGAAGGCGCCCGGTAACTTGTGTATTCCTCAAATATTAATTGTGGCATACATGTGTGGTGTCACGTTTCTCAAACGTAAATTCACTATTCTATACAACGTTACAAATAAAGACAACCATCCGGTTTTAAAGTCAATACCCACAATACAATGCGTGATAGGAATAACCTCGAAATCTTAGTCTTCAAAACCGTAATATCGTAATGCACTACGGGCGGGAAAGATATGACAGTGGGACTAAGCTATATGCGTTGATAGTTTGCTGATTAACTAACTGCCAGACAAAAGTCCTATTACCAATCAGCTGTTTAAGTATGGCCGGCAAATTTCCCTTTATTAATACGCTTTTATTAGATTCAGACGTATGTATGTTCGTATGTAACGGAATCTTTGAACATGATTTTGATCCCCTTCAAAACGTCGGATTAACTCGAAATTTGGCTTACTTATTAATGACAATTCAATAATAAAAAAAATTATTGAAAAAATTGAAATTCAACTAAAAAATGCATGGTATCAGCAGTTATAACCTGAAAAGCTCCCCACGCTTTTTTTTCAATAAAATCACTTTTCTTACACTATTTTTAATTCAAATTTATTAAAAGAAACTTTGTTCTGTTTATTTTTAGAGATCCAGAGATGATTTCGATCACGGCTTCTCCGGAAGCACCTCCACCGCGCATTCGCATTTTGGATACTCGTCAACGCGAGGTCGATTCTGTTCGCATCGGAGACAGTCTCGCCTTCCGTATCGAGATCCCGGAAGACAGTGAGCATTTATTTAATTTAATTAATTTGGTTACACTTTTCGATGCTAATTTAGCCGAATTAACATATTGTCTTGCTTTTTACAGCCCCTTACGGTATCTTCGCCCGCAGCTGTGTCGCTATGGCTAAAGACTCCAAGACCACATTCCAGATTATTGATGACGAAGGGTACGTTTTACAAGGAAATTTTACGAAATTCTTCAGTTCGATACCGTAGTTCGTAACAAGCAAGTATTTTTTTTCCAGATGTCCGGTCGATCCCGCTATATTCCCAGGTTTTACTCCTGATGGCAACGCGCTGCAGTCGATTTACGAAGCCTTTAGATTTACCGAGTCTTACGGTGTAATCTTCCAATGTAATGTCAAGTATTGTCTTGGACCTTGTGAGCCGGTGAGTGTAAAAATCAAGATGATAGATAAAAACAAACTGCCGACGACTTTTGACCGTGGCTAACGACACTTTTAGCAATAAACCTTAGATACGGGCAATTTGCGGAAACATTCCCATTTGCTACGGCACAATGCTAACGCATTTATTTTCTAGGCGGTGTGCGAATGGGGCAGAGATTCTCTCGAGTCTTGGGGAAGAAAGAAGCGTTCGCTTCCTCGCAACGACACCGAAGGCCCCGCTCAGGACGAAGAAATGAATATCTCCCAAGAAATTTTAGTCTTGGACTTTGGTGATGAGCATCAGAGCACCGATTTTCTACGTTCTGACAAGCCCGGCGGAGTTGCTTCCGAGGCCAACTTTGGAGGTATGTTTCAATTGAATTCTATTGACAAAACAGAACGGGAAAAGTTTCCCACGGCCCTAAGATTTTATCGTTCATCAACATCACAACGTTCAGGCCAAGCCGAGATGCTAAATGACTTTATGGCAAAATTGGTATCAACCAGTGTAGTGTCTCAATATGGCCTCTCACTTGTTCTCTTGGTATCAATGATTATCTAGAAGATTGCACAAAGTGCGAATGAGTTCATTGTTGCAATAATTGTTACGTTATAATACACATTGTAAAAAAGAATATTAAAAAAAAAAACATGCCCGCTGAGTTTCTTGCCAGTTCTTCTCAGGACCGAGGCTAGTTTTTGTGAATTGGCGGTAGTTTTTTTTGACGTTCAACTAATATGTACTTTCATTTATGTTGAATAAAATTTTTTTGATTGATTGATAACAATAAGAAAGATATAAAAAATCTTGTAGAAGGCTTCTCTACAGATCTGTATTTCCAAATTAATACAATAGAGAACATAGTACCGGAACGAATTCACGTAAATTTATTCTTTGTTGTTCTAGAAAAAACGGTCACGATCGTGGAGCCCTGTCCCAGTAAAGCTTCAGTGCTCCTGCTCGGAGTCGCGTGCGCGTTGCTCGTCCTTCTCTACATAGCGACGATCTTCTGCTACTACATGCGCAAGTGGCTGACTCCGCCTAAGCACATGTCGTAATTTATCATAAATCTCGCCACATCGCACAATGTTTCGTGACTTCACCACTCTCACTCAGGAACTTGTGATACAAATGACAAGTGTGCTTACTGCTTAATGCGAGTTTTTTTACTTTCTCGATAGCGTAAAATTAACTCAAATTTGTATGCAGTTGGAACAGCGTCCCTAGCCTATTTCTGCCGTGAAGCAGTAATGCGTTTCGGTTTGAAGGGCGGGGCAGCCGTTGTAACTATACTTGAGACCTTCGAACTTATATCGCAAGGTGGGTGGCGCATTTACGTTGTGGATGTCTATGGGCTCCAGTAACCACTTAACACTAGGTGGGCTGTGAGCTCGTCAACCCATCTAAGCAATAAAAAAAAAACAAATTTGGGCTAACTTTCTCGCTATCGAGAACGTTACAAAACTCGCACTAAGCACACTGAGCTCCACTCGCGAGTAACATAGTATCGTCAAATCACGGCGTTCTGTTTTTAAGAATATTGGCAAGATGTAACCACCGGGTCTGCATTTATATTAGAGGTAATCTATTGAATTTGCATGCATTTATTTTATTTAAATTTGAATAGGTTTATTTTTAGAAATATATTAGGTGTTTAAGCAGTCAAAATGTGGAGCTGAATATTTCAAGGACATTTTGAGTATTTGCGAAAATTCCATGATGCATTTATTCTTTTATAAGTATTATTTAAGAACGTTTTTTTTTGTATAATTTTTTAGTACTTTTTATATTTAAGGAATATAAAATTCGTTTGGAATAATCCCGAAAACCACCGTTTACAATAAACAGGAAAAGTTTTACGGGATTATTCTGATGTTATAGATTGGTAAATAGATGATAATTAATGATTTACAATTCAAATTGATTTTTTTATTTACTTGTGACTGATACATTTTTAAATAAAAAGTCGTGTAACTTTTTAAAGCTATGTTATTCTATGCAAATTTTAAAATTAAATATGAATTAAATTTTTAAATGAGAGTAGCCTGGACTATTTCAAACAATTGTTTAGTTTATAAAAATGTCTGGTTTCTAAATACGTAAATTGAATTAATTGTAAATAGATCTTAAAATCTTTTGCACTAGAAGATTTTATTGGGACTTTCAGTTGGGTTTTGTAGAAATGTTACACAATATTGTACTTAGTTAAGAATTTGTTTGATACATTTTTTAAATCAAGTAACATTGAGCTTGCTTCCCTTAGTTACTCAAAAAGCTACTTTTAATTTCTATTGTATGCATTATTGTATGCTTGAACGCTTCAATCTAAGTACAATGATTTTTAAGAAAGAAATAAAACAACATTTCTTTCAACCCAACTTGAGATTTCTTCTTATTTATTTAGATAAATGATTAATAACATATTTATTTTTTCAATATTAAACAAATAATAAATTTTGTACAAATTATTTGATTCTTTTATTTTATTATCAACGTGATAACGTCTAATAAATCAACTAGCTGTAACCGTGCGCTTCGCTGGGCATTTAAAATTAACAATATTATTACTCACCCCCACAAAGATTCTCATCTCTAACGCCCCCGCAACTGGTGTAGGGAGTCCAACACTCATATAAATATTAGCCTATCAATTAGCCTATCCATTAAGTACATGTATTCTCTACATCAATGGTCGCCTACCCACCTAGCGCACAGGCTCGCGCGGCAGCCTCGCGAGCCAAATGCCTCGGCTGGTGTGGACGTGCCTCGGGCTGCCTCGGGCGCGCGTTTGTTGGCTGAGCACGGCTCAGCCCCGAGCCATCAGTTGTCGGTAAACTTGACGCGCTCAAAGGTTCCTCAGTGAGGGCTGTGTGTTAGGTGGGAACGGTTGTTTTGGCTCGCGCGCGAAGCTACTTCACGTTTTGTCTATTAACGCGTTTGTCTCTATCTATAATATTGATATCATGGGCAGTCAGGAGGAGTCCATTCGTTTAATACAAATGTACAGCACGTACAAAGTGCTTTGGCACCCCAAAGATCCATAAATTACCGACCCCATAAATTTTACCAAGTTTCAAGTCAATCGGATGCATGGTTCAGTAGTTATAACGGAACATCCGTAAAAACCACTGTTTATATATTAGTATAGATTAGTATACCGTTTATGATTTATTTGGTTAAAATCACAAATATTTCACATTATGCCTTTAATATCCAGAAATAGGAAGGATATTAAAATAAATAATCAGCGACAAAACAAATAGGCATATGACACTGTACTATGGGAACAGAGATAGTTACACATACTTTAATATGTTTAAATAAATAAAGAAATAAGCACTCCAACAGACTTATAAATAATTTAAACTTATAAATAATATATAACCTTTAATATAAAAGCAAATAAACCTTTTCGCGACATTAATATTTTTCAAACAGAGAAATTGAACAACCTCTAAGTTCAGCTGTAAGGGTAATTAATTACCGTCACTGGGCTGGCCAGTCATAATAATATACTCAATCATTAAATTATTTTATGCTGTATTTTGTACCATCAATTCCTTCATTAATTTATTATATACATAACTCAGAATATCTTTTTGGGACTTCAAGTCCAGGTCTTCTATCTCACATTCAAACACATCTTGAAATTTACTCAAAAACAATGGTGTTATTTTGTCTATTGTGCACAAATCTCCTGTTTCTTTGGTCAATGATGTAACTCCTTTGTCAACTATACCACAGGGGTCTATGTGTTTGAACCAAGAAAGGTCAATATCACAATTTATTGCAATACCATGGGTTGTGACATATCTCGAGGTGTGAACACCTATTGCGGCTATTTTGTTATCTGCCACCCATACTCCTGTGTGAGGTGATCTGCTGGCTTGAATTCCTGATTGAAAATAAAATAGCTGTCAAACATATGTTAAGATATTTGGATGCATTTTATTTTATTTGTCTAGAATGATATACTTAAGTAGCTCTTACTCCCGCAAAGTTACATTTTAGTTTGAAACCATAGTCAACGTACACATTACATTGAGTTTTGAAATTTATGTCTAAAAGTGGTAGCAGCGTCTTCGAGCTCCTGTAACCATTTAATCCGGGGCTGAGCTTCTCTGCTCATTATAATGGCCTATATGCAGCTGCAGTCTTAGATAATACAGAGGCACTTGATGAGCAAGTTCATTGTCCACTAGGATCTGGTCTCAATAATATATTGACTGCACACTTCAAACAAGAATGGATGTTGCTTTGCAGTAAAACTGGCAGGGTAGTAGTAAATAAATTAACAATAATCATACTCTTAATATTACTTATGTCATTTTTCTGTTTGATTTTTATTTTAGTAATTGAGGTTGAATTTTTAATTACAATTTTAATTACTTTCTTGAAGTAAACTATTTGTTGCAATTGGGTTAAAAAATGTGTTAATCAGTGTATTGTAGTAATAAATAGAGTTAAAAACATGTTTACATAGCAAACCAAATTAAAAATGAACTTTATAATAAATTTTTTTCAGCTGATGCTAGTCATGGTGTTAGATAGAGCTTATTAAATTATAATATAATTTTACAGTTATTATACTATATTTGCATTATTAAATTTGCAAACACCTCAATCATCAATGGACCAGTGAGACTAGTCATTGATCCTTGGTGTATTTGCAAATTTTCTACTTCATCAGATGACTTGCGGTCAGTGAAAAAGAAATTCAAATATTCTGTTATTATTTTTATTGTTTAGTTAGGTGGACGAGCTCACAGCCCACCTGGTGTTAGATGGTTACTGGAGCCCACAGACATCTACAACGTAAATGCCACCACCCACCTTGAGATATGGGTTCTAAGGTCTCAGTATAGTTACGTCGGCTACCCCCCCTTCAAATCGAAACACATTACTGCACCACGGCAGAAATAGGTAGGGTTGTGGTCCTACTCATGCAGACTCACAAGAGGTCCTACCACCACTAATAATAAAACAATATGCATATTCTTTTCAAAATTGAAATATTGACTGGCGTTTATTCTTTCTTACGTTTGATGATATAATATTGATGACACATTAGACATTGACCTAAAGTTTTTGAGTATTGTATAGCAAATGATGTATATTTGTATTTGAAATAATATAACTTGTTTACCTAAGTCACCACACAATCTTATGCCAATTTCTTCCAAACTATTTACATACCACTTCACACTTGGTTTATAGTACTTCAAATTTATAATTGGGTATGCAACTAATTGACCAGGCCCATGAAAAGTTACAAGACCGCCTCTGTTTGTTTTCTTAAAATCTGCTCCCAGACTTTTTAGCCTGAGAATTTCATTGTTTGGTGTCTTGTCTCTTATACCTGTAATTTCCAAAAAATATTGTGCTAGTAAAAACAACAACAAAATTAAAAGATTTAATATAATTATAACATTGTACAGTATTTTTTCGGATTAACGATTAGTAACAAAGCTAGTGAAATGAAAATTGACTATTAAGACATACAATTGACTTAAGTATATTCAAACGATTATTTGAAATATTTTTGATGTTTTCATCTATTTTCACGGATCAGCAAGCATATTAGCATCATACAAGTCATTAACTAATTTATCATAGAATATTTGGGGTAGTTGTGCTCACCTACTGTATAAACAGGTTTATGTTCTACAAGTAAAAGGGTATCATGATTAAAATCCAGGCCATTCTTAATTGAATCGAGATGTTTTCGTGCTATAGCTAATTGGATATTAAGAGCAGTATCATAGCTCATTAAACCCAGCCTCCAAATTTTAACCATTTTAGAAGTTTGTATCACTTGTAAAATAAATTTTCACGGTTTTCATAATACGCAGTAATATGGTAATTCCATTTGATAAAGAGAGATGACAATTTATATTTGTTATTGAAATAATAATATCCCATTATTTTTAGAAGGTTATCGTCCGGATTCGCTCAATAATGTCAGCATTTTCTACAAGTGTCACTGTCACTTGAATGATCGTACCGTACCGTACTAGGTCTATGGGTCCATGCCGTTTAATGAAAATTGTCAAACTAAGATCATGAGTCTTTCCAGGAACGAGAGTTGTTAAGCTGTGTACATTTTTATTGTTTTTGATGTTTCTCCGGGTTTAAACTTATAATGATGATGGTTTATTAACCATGTAGCACATGTGGGAAATGGAAAAATGGTTACAAAATAAAATCGTTGAAAATGGCTAGTTGTTTATTGAACTTACAAATATTTTCCAGAATTTTACTCAGATTTTGATTATATCTCAAATACAACTTACGGTATTTTCTTGTCCCATTATAAGTAAGTTAATTTAAAACAAAAATTAAATTGATAGTGCCATTTCATTTTGATTCAATAAATATGTTTTCAGCATTTCTAAAATGTTATTTATATGTGTATAGCCCCTTTCTTATTTTAATAGAAAATTAAACAAAAAAAATGGTTATAACCATCGTGTCAATACAATTAATATTCCTTATTGGCATTTGACTTAAGAAAAAAAATTAAAAGGTATGTTAGCATAATAATAATAGATTACGTTATTTAAAATGATTGTATTCTATAATAAAACCTGTAACTCTTTTCTTATAGTTTTTGGGGGTTATGGTCTTTATGTCTTTGCATGTAAGTTCGGTGAACAAAATTAGAAAGTGTCAATAGCACTGTCAGTGTGATTATTTTAAAAGGTTTTTATGACCTGGTAAATAAGACTTTTAGGTCATGTCTTATTTTGGAGTGAAATGAAATGAAATGAAGATGATTAATTTGAGACATTAATCAACTGGAATGAAATGAAATGAAATGAGATGAGATGAGATGAGATGATATTGGATGAAGTATAATCTCAGTAAAATGGTGGTCATTTACTGAGTTTTTTTCAGTGAATTTTAGGAGGATCCCGAGAAGTTATGTCCAGCGGCTTTGTTTCATTTTCCCACATTTGTGCACTTTCACAGATATTAAACAGTTAATAAGCCACCGTTATTACACATTTAAAACTAAAGAAACACTAAGTATACAAAATAAAACAAATCACACAAATTCACTCCTCGCGTTCCCGCCAAAAAGTCCTGTCAGTGTGAAGTGTTTAGCGTATATAGATTAGGTATAGTGTAAATCGCGCATACAACTTCAATTGACGGATCTTGGCTCTGCACTTGGAAACAAAGCTGGCACAATTATCTTTTTGAAATAGTATTTCAAGAAATTAAAATAATAGACGAAGAATATTTGGATACACGCTGATGCGTTTTTGATAAACGTTTCTGTAAATTTTACACTGACATTCGCTGAAACTTAGCACTGATCTTACTATTCGACGATAGATGGCATTAAATAGAAAAACAATGTAAATGTGAACCACCACTACAATACAGTTAAGGGTAGGAATCTATACCTTATAGCTTTCAGTTCAGTTTTCCCTGTACTCGGCATGTAGGTCGGTGTTTTGTACGTTACGTAAAATCGACTGTGAATATAAACATTGAACGTTTAAATAGATCTTGCTATTTTTCGTTTATAGATATCGGAGGCTATTTTTGTTGCTGCTGTGCTTCATTTCATTTGTTTTCGCCCTAATTTTTATCTTAATAGCAGCTGTTGGAAAATTATATTCTCTGTTTTGAATTTTCTCGCATTGAAATATAGTTCTTATGACCTTAGTGTTACCGTTTGATGTCGTGTTTGGACAAAGTGTTGGTGAAAACGGAGATGTGGTGTACTCTCAAACGATGACAACACGGGTAATAATATTTTAATAGTAGTTTAGAATTAATATTAAATAAAATATTATTCATTATATTTGCTCCAGTAAGTACCGGCACTAGCGCATATTTTCTATATAGGATTCTTTACCTTTTCATTAGTAGCATACTGCGATCACATTAATTGGTGGTACGGTTTATTAAGTGGACGCAGGGATAATGAAGCATTAATTAATCTTGCGTTTGAAGGATCGCACAGTCCTGATACAACACAATCAAGACTTATCGTGTCTCAAGATGAGTAGCGGTGCTCGCGCTATGATAACTATTCCCTCCGGTGATAACTTATTACCAGGTTGGTTGAGAGCATGCTAACTAAAGTATTGTTTTTAATAAGTACGATAAGTTGTGTCAAATTAGGACGATCAAAACTTAAGTTTTTGTATGGACCTAATAGTATTTAAGTATTATTTATTACACTAAGCTATTTACCTAGATTAATTAGTTTAAGGTTGTCAAATGGTCAGTTACCGTTGTCCTTTATGTTTTGTTCAGCCCTGCAGCAAAGTTGCTTATAGTTTCAAATACACCTATTTTGACCACCACTTTAGTAAGCAAAATGAGTTAACATAATAGCCCATACTTGGCATCCCTGACTTCCATACGTTGGGTCATGGGATCTATTCCCACACCGAGAAAATATTTGCATGACGAATAGGTTTTTTGGTTCTTTTGTCTGGATGTTCCATTTGAATTAATATTAGTATGTAAATATTTGAATCTATATAAATATTTGAATATGGTATCCATAACACGGCGAATCCTAATTTAGGGCCACATGACCGTACGTGATTTTTTCCGAGTTATTATTGTTAAGCCTGTGCTAATCATTTGGAACACAAACGTATAGGATAAGTCAGGTTGTATGCAGGATGCCAGTGCGCTCTGGCTTTTATGATATTTGTCGTTCATGAAGATGTATAGAAACGGTCATCGTTCTCGTCGAACCCGTCGCTTGCGACGAAGGGCTCGGCCAGTAAATTAACTTACAGACATACCCAGTGAGTTTCTTGCCGGATCTACCCAGTGGGTCGCGTTTCCGATCCGGGGGTAAATTCTGCGAAGCACGGTTCTTGCTAGGGTTCGTGCTAGCAACAACGTCAGGTTTGAGCCTCGCGAGCTCACCTACTCGCCCGATTACGCTGACAGAGCCTCTCAAGGCTATCAGCTTAGGTAGGAAAAAAAAAAGTGTAGTGTACGAAACTCAAAAAAAAGGCATATGTTAATCTTGCTATAACCGCATCGCCCGATAACGATTCATCATTTTTCCAATCAGGTCAAAAAAACAACTTCAATTTCACTACGTCGAGCCTAGACATATACATACATAACCATACTTTGTCGTTTGTGGTTTATTTTACTGTTTTGTCAAGTACAAATACCTAATTTATGTCGAGTTCCTTCTTCATGTCACGTGCCTCCGCGTGCTGACACGCAAAGCTACCTTGCAAATTACAGTTCGCCAAAGTAGACTCGTATTGTGAAACATAAACAAAATTAAAACCCTGAAACTCCATAGTATTTATGTGTTTACATCGTATTCTGAAAAACTCCAATGTACTTAATAGGTATATGACAATTTTTAATGCATGAAATACTTTCCTTTTGCTACCGTTCATTAATATTGTTTTTATGATGACGAGAACGTTAGGCAATTTTGATTTCTTTGTACCTTACTAAAATGTTCGGTATTTTTAAGCTATTGCATAGCTTCTATCACAGGCATTGAGCGCGGCGACTGAATCAAGAAATTCCGTAACGAAAATAACCTGACACCCCCACTACGCGTACTATGTAGCTCGCGTTCAATATATTCACACGTTGCGCTGGTGTAGTGTTTGTGAATAAGCGTGCGGCGTGACATCGCACTGCATGAGCATCATGAAAAATCTGCCCATCTCTCTCTCACGCGGACTAGCTTATGAGTGTGAAGGGTACAGTTATAGTTTTGCTTTTGTTAATGTTTATAAATATAGCGTGGTCTTATTTTTATTATTGTTTTAATATTAAATTATTATTGTCTAATTGTAATTGCATAAGTTGATAAAAAACGCTTTGCAATAGCTTTACCGCGGCAGTCCCCGAGTGCCACACGTCTTTTTTAATTGTATATTGAAATTACCAGTCAAGTAATTATAATTATAATTTCTAGTAGATTCTTCGGTTTTAGCCAGAATTAAATTGAATAAAAACTACTGTTACGCTTTTAAGTAATGTCGAATCCGTGGCCACGAAAAATACAAAGTATTCGAAAGATCAAAAATAATATAGTGACAATAACAATATGCGAGATTTAGTCGAAAAATTAGCTTTAACTATTATGATTTATGTTCTTCGTTTATTTTCCTACAAAACCACGGAGCTGCACAAAAAAATAAACATTTAAAATCTTAGCTTAATATTACGCAAAGCAACTAAACAAACATAAGCATACGTAATGTATTTATTGTTCTAAGAATCAGGGTCATTACCCTATGCGTAGTTTAGGGTCAAAAACCGCTTATGTGGTAAACAATCCCACAACAACAGAGCAGGAAGATCGGTGAGTCTCATCCCGGTAGCTATTTATAGTTCAACAGTTTCGAGGGTAAGTATAGGGGCGCGCACGCATGTTCTGATGTAAATTGTATAAAGTTTACATATTTAATTTTTGTGTTTAGCTGTAAGTAAAATCAAATTTTTAATCAACGAACATTCGTAAGCTTTCATACTAAAAGATCTTTAGAGGAACTATTTTTGTACTGTATACGTCAATTTATGCAAACAGTAAAATAAAATATTAAATATTCTGTTTGAACAAGTTCAAAATTACAAACCAGATAAAACCAAATGAGTCTTAGGGTATTATGAAATTTATTGTGATTTTTATTTAATTACCATAGCATCATCAAACTTAAATCTTCGGACTAAATGCGCTTTGTGTTGAAACTAATTTAAGCTATCTAACATACTTATGTTGACGGGTATGTGCCGGTAATCTGAAGTCTGAAGTGCGAACAATTATACATACTACTCAATTGGATCAACAACGTACTAATGGCAAATCAGCAACAAAGACAAAAGTAGTAATAATAATCTCTTTAACACCACTTTTATGTTTTTTTATATAAGGCAAAGAATATGTGGTCTGTTTCAGACAGTGAATTAGACTTTGAAAAAAAAAAAAAAAACAA